CGACCTGAATAAATTCTTAAAATTTCGGTTCGACCCAAGGAATAATATATATGGATGCGATGAACCGTATCCATGACAAATGTAGAAAAGGCATGAATGAGACTGGATATCTTCACAATACAAGAAATGTATTTTAAATACATTGTATTGTGAAGTTATCCAGTCTCATTCATACATTTTCTATATATGGATGTGTATACGCAAGAAACATGTGCATATATCTATCTGATAGATATGTATATCTAGTGATAGATATGCATTTATCTATCTACATATCTATCTATATACCTATCCGGCAGATAAACATATCTAGAAGGGTATGCAGGCATTTATTTCTGTGCATAGGTATGTCCACCTGTATGCATAGCCGTTGGGTCAGGTCGCTTGCGAGGTTAACACACGCCCTTTGACCTCACGGTGAAGTCATTGTAACATTTGGTATCGTTCTCTGACCTCACGGTAGAATCCTCACTTTATAACTTTTGGTATCGTTCTCTGACTTCACCCTCAAGGCATCACTGTAATATTTGGTATCGCTGTCTGACCTCACCATCAAGGCATCACTGTAACATTTGGTATCGATCTCTGACTTCACCATAGAGTAATCACTGTCTAGCATCTGGTATCGATCTCTGACCTCACCATCACGGCATCGCTATAATATTTGGTATCACTCTGACCTCACCAAAGAGTCATCCCTGTCTAACATTTGGTATCGCTCTCTGACCTCACCGTAGAGTCATCACTGTAACTTTTGGCATCGCTCTTCGACTTCACCATCAAGGTATCACTGTAAAATTTGGTATCACTCTCTGACCTCACCATAGAATCATCACTATCTAACATTTGGATCGAGAACTGACACCTCTGACCTCACCCTCAAATCTAACTGCACAATATTTGGTATCGCCCTATGACCTCACATGACCCTCAATCCTTACCAGACAGAAGAGGATCCCTAGCATCACTCGTGGTACTGCAGGACGCCTTGGTATCCCTGAAAACTACCTTCGTGTTGGTAGTTCGAACTCCCAACTTGCCCACCATGATCTGTAAAAAAAGATATTTGTTTTATTATTTTTTTTTGTGTGTGAGTTTATGTGTATGTGTATTTGTGTGTATGGGTGGGTGGATGGATGGATGTGCGTATGTGTGTATGTGTATGTTTGCATGTATGTATGTCTATGCAGTTATGTATGTGTGTATGTATGTATGTGTGTGTATGCATATTTGTATGTATGTAAGTATGTGTGCATGTATGTATGTAAGTATGTATGTATGTAAGTACGTGTGTATGTATGTATGTAAGTATGTATGTATGTATGTATGTATGTATGTATGTATGCATGTATGTATGTACGTATGTGTGTGTATATATTTGTATGTATGTATGTATTTTTGTATATATGTATTTTTGTATGTATGTATATATGTATGTATGTATGTATGTATGTATGTATGCATGTATTCATGTATGTATGTACTATACACACGTATGTACGCACGCACGAACGTATAAACGGATGTATGTATGTATGTAAGCATGTACGAATGCATGCCCGGTGCCGCGAGAGCAATAGAGGAAGCGAAGCAAGTGAGAATCAGACGAAACTCAATGAAACAGACGAACGAAACAGACATATTCGCAGCTGTTAATAGCATGACGCAATCAACACGTGCTCGAAACCCTCCCTTTCCCCCTCCTGCCACAACTATTCCAGGAGAGAGATAGGGAGAGGGAGAGGGAGGGGGAGAGGGAGAGGGAGAGGGAGAGGGAATGAGGTGAGAGGGAGGAGGGAATAGGGAGAGGGGAGGGAGAGGGAGGGAGAGGAGAGGGAGGAGGGAGAGGGATGATGGGAGAGGGTAGAGGGATTAGGGAGAGGGAGGAGGGAGAGGGTAGAAGGTGAGAGGGAGTAGGGAGAGGGAGAGGTAGAGGGGATAGGGAGAGGGAGAGGGAGCAAGGGAAGGGAGAGGAAGTGAGGCGAGATGGTGAGAGGGAGGGGTGAAGAGGGAGGTAGGGAGGGAGAGAGGGGAGGGAGGATAGGGGTGGAAGTAGGGAGTGAGGAAGGGGGGAGAGGGAGGAGAGAAGGGGGAGAGGGAGGGAGGAAGGGGGAGAGGGAGGGAGGAAGGGGAAAGGGCAGGGAGGAAGGTGAGAGAGGGGGAGAGGGAGGGAGGGAGAGGGGAGGGGGGATGGAGGTGAGGAGTGGAAGGGAGAAGGGAGAGGGAGAGGTAGGAGGTAGGGAGGAGAGGGAGAGGAGAGGAGGGGAGGGATAGGAGGGAGGGAGGGGAGAGATAGAAAGAGAGGGAGGTAGGGGGAGGGAGGGAGAGGGAGGGAGGAAGGGGGGAGAGGGAGGAGGAAGGGGAGAGGGAAGGGAGGAAGGGGGAGAGGGAGGGAGGAAAGGGGGAGTAGGAGGGAGGAGGGGAGAGGGAGGGAGGAAGGGGGAAAAGGGAGGGAGGAAGGGATGAGAGGGGGAGAGGGAGGGAGGGAGACAGGGAGTAA